TGTCTTTGAAGACCCATTCTAGACTGCTGCAGCTGCTGAGGATCATTCACATACTATTATATAATACACATCTTTAACATGTTTTATTTCTGTATCTGTGCTCTAAAGCTTCAAATTGCGTTTAAATTCCTATTGTTTGTTTTCCTCTTTAACTTATAAATAATATTTTTACAGGGCTTTTTGTATGCAAATGTATTTTATGAAGTTTATTATTTGATTGTTGTAATTATTATCACTATTATTATTATTATTATTATTACTGTCCTGTGAGGCGGAAGCGGAAGTGGGCAGCAGGGCGTCCTCTCGCTCCGGCCGCCCCGCCCCCCTCCGGGACGCAGAGCGGAAGTGGACGCTGTGCGCTGCGGACACGGTGCAGCTGAGCTCCGGGTTGTTTCCACTGATCCGCGAGCGAAGATCGTCTCGTTCGCCGTCAACGCGTCGAGGGGGGGAGGCGGACATGGAGCCTCAGGCCGGAGAAGACGCCAAAGGGCCGGTGCTGCACATCGTGGTGGTGGGATTCCACCACAAGAGAGGCTGTCAGGTGGGTGAACCCGCCGCGAGCTAACGAAGCTAGCTGACAACAAACGGCGTCACTGACAGAACCGTGCAGCTGCAGACTCTTCTACCTGAAGTGATGCAGCTCTGCAGTGACATCGGCTCTGAGTTATATAACCTGTGTCCTCCTCACTGTGTCTGACTCTTGGCGTTAATCTCAGGCTGCAGCCTCGAGTCTCCTCCCTGATGTTAAACTGTTTGATTTATCACAACAACAACCGGAGCCATGTTGTGGGTCAGTGGGACTCAATGTGTCGTAGATGTAAACATAAAGGAAATGAACGACTCGGGAGAAGCTGGAGCATTAACGTGATATTAGAAATGAGCTGCTGCACATTTTTAAAATGTCTTCTCAGTCCCTCCCTTGATTTATAATTATTGTAAATAAAAAAAAATGGACGCAGTTTAAAAGTGAAGCCAAAACACCGGGATTGCCCCCTTGTGGCTGACTGCAGTATAAACACAACTTTCTCCATGTTGGCAGACGAGACACAGACCAAACTAAAACATGGTTTCTGTTGTTGTTCTTGTCAAACTGATCTTTGACTCAGTGTTTCTGAGCATTTTGTTTTTAGTCATTTGACATGAAAACAGCTTTAAACGTCACGATTGTCAGCTGAGACCGACCTCGTCACTTAAAGACGGCCGTGCCCACGTTACAGATATTTCGGCTTCATGTTTGTACGATGGGAGGAAGTGGAGATGTTACTGAACCCGTCTTTAGAAGCACTGGTTGAAACCGTAAACCCGTCATTCATAAGTTATTTCATGCTGCTTTCAAATGAAACTCAAAACCTCATCTGATCAAAATTAAAATATATTAGTGTTCCCAAGAAAAATAATCAGTGGCCTCCATCTTTTCTGACAAACGTTAACAAAGCAAAGTTAAGCACAAACAGTCACAAGCTCATGTTGAAAAGGTCAACAGGAAATAAAACATGACAGTAGATGAAGTCCACAGATTTATTAACAAAGTCTTACACTACAGGTAAAAACCATCATGACAAACTCATCCAGGAACTCACGGTTACATAAAAATCCAGATGAGCGGAACACGAGGAATCAGACCACGACGCAAACAACGACTCACCTGAAGTTTGTGGAAACTCGACCAGTGAAACTCAGGGATTTAAATCCTCTGCAGCTGATTGACAAACGAGAAGCAGGTGGAAAACTGGAGGCAGGAAGTAAAGTCACTGCACACGTGATTAGGAAAGACATTTCAAAAGAAAACAGGAAACAGAGGACAAGTAGAAAGTTACTTGGGCTGTAACTACAGATTTTTTGGATATA